TCCCCCCCCCCCCCAACACTTGTGTTTCTAAAGCAGAGTAGAATTCTTGGCACATGGAAAAAGATTTTTAACAATATTTTTGAAAGAATAAATGTATTTTATGATATTTACAAGCATACACCATTAACTGGGGTCATATTAGCTCTCCTCCATTATTTTTTCTTGGCCCCCCCCAAACACACTGGTCCCCTTCTGCATCCCAGTTATTTTTATTTTCATGGCTTTTATATACATATATGTTATGCATACAAGAGAGCATGTAATATTTTTCATACTGAGTCTGGCTTAGTTTTCCTAACATCATGGTCTCCAGTTGCAACCATTTTAATATGTGATTAGTGATATGATTTTGTTCTCCTTTCTGGTTGAATAAAAATCCTTTGTATATGTGTGCTGCATTTTCCTTGCCCAACAGAAATGTAATATTGTAGTCACTCACCTCAGAATTCTCTTCTGCAACGTGTTCTCAACATATAAAAACAAACTCCATAACAGTCTGCATAGTCTTTGAGCAGGGAGATTAGATGCCCTGCTAGGAATTCTATGAACTTGTGAGTCAGTTCACTGACACTGGGCCTGCCTGTGGACAATGGACAATGCCCAATTGGAAACAACACTATTTCAACAGAGTAAGCTAATTTGTTTGGGCTTTGCTATGATTGAACGCATGTGTTTTGAATTAGTTTTAATTGAAATTCAAATCTAATTTGTAAGGTCTGGGGGATAAGGTTTTAGAAATAAAAAGGTAAATTAGGTGGTCCGTGATCTGAGTGAGGAATGAAATCTTCATTCCTGGTATTTCAGACTTGAGTTGTTTGTTTACAGCAGGTTGCTGCTTTATTTTACTTTTATTCTCCACAGCAGATTGAGGGGGATATGGTTTTGACTAAAAAATGTTTTAAAGAGCAAATTGCCTTTGCCATCAGTTTATGTCCTGTTTCCACCTGTTTACTATGACAGCGGCTGGTATTCTTGAAGTGACATTCAGGTACAGGGAAATCAGGAAACAGAATACGTGTTTTTAAAAAAGTCAATTCTTTAATCTCAAACACATTAATTTCTTTTAGAAAATACAGGTGAATTAATCTAACAAGCCATCGCATTTGGATAGAGGTCCTCCAAACTCCAGCTGTGAAACAAGGGTTCCATGGGTAAAAGGAACTCCAAAGAAGGCATGAGGCAATTTGCCCTGCTGGGGAAGCAGCCTCCAGGGCCTCCTTCCATGTTCTAAGAAAAAAAATGGGAAAACCCTTCAATTAGCTCTGAGAGATCATTGTCCCACCACAAGATTTGCCTGTGCCAAAGAGGTGTGGCAGGCAGATGGCACTGGGTGTTGACATGATCTAGACTAAACTTTAGAACCAACAGACCAGCAATAAGAAATTAGGGACAAGAAGGTGTTCTCAATGGCAGGTTTGCTGGAGATGTACCTTAGATGACACAGAGGTGTGGTATTAATAGTCAACCAGACACCAAGTGTAGGCATAGGTCTCAAGCCACCAGCTTTTCAGTCTCCTGATGACAGAGAGAACTCTTATCTTAAGTCCGTACTATTTATCTGTAATTCTCTATGTTTTTATTGTGTCCATTTTATCAAAGAGAATTGCTGAAGTCCCGGTTAGTCAGACACCAGAATCATGCTTAGACTAAATATCATGATTTAGATTTCATTGTATTTATTTGTATCACAAGAGATATCAGTATTCCATTTGAACATTCCTTTTATATTAAATTTAAGTAAAACCAGTGAGTCAAACTGAAGAAAAATTGCAAGTAAATCATAGCACAAATGTAAGCATAAGAAGGCTGGAATGTGGAAATCTCTGGAACAGAAGATTCTCCTGAGTCTAGTGTTATGCAATAAAAAAAAAAGTTAATGGAAGGAAGTACTTATGAATTAGGCAGTTGAGAGAAAACTTATCTCCAGGATATATAAAGTTATAACAACTCTATAAGAACAGATAAATAACTCAATTAGTTACAGGCAAAAGACAATGCACATTTCTCCACAGAAGAGATAATGATCATACAGACATTTAACATCATTAACTGTGAAGTCCAAGCTCTGACACAAGAACAAAGGAGAGTCCCAAGAGTCGGGAAAGTTGAAGAAGATAGAAAGAATCCTAGGTTGATAAGATACACTTTGTTTACCAGCACCCAGGCCACTAGACAGGTACCCAGACATAATCCAGTGTACTCAGGCCACACACAGGTACTGGAAAAGGCAAACAGGAGAAGACCTCAAAGCCATATGTATACAGAATCACACAAAAGTGGCATTTGGTAGGAATAGTTGTATAACAGATATCATAGCTTCATTTGGGGTTCTCTAGACATTTAAGTTAGCCTTATTTTTGCTAACTCATGTCATGCCACTCCCCATTAAGCATTAGTAATTTTGGCCCATGCCTGATATCTGTGTCAGTGGTATGCCATCTAAACAGGATCCATGTATTCTGTTCCCTTTCCTACTCATTATGGAAATATAAAATCTGACCAAAACTAAGATGTGAACAAAAGATTTTTCATGCCACATAGGGTACCAGTGACAAAGAAATGATTCCATCCAAACATATCTCAGTGAATTAACATATTTATTGCACTTATAAGTGTGGCACCCAAATATTTGGCAAGAATTTCCACATAAAACCTGACAAAGCTTAAAAAATAATTCTAAACACACAAAAATGGAGTCAAACGCAGTTTCTTGGTAACTGTCTTTTCTCCAATAGGCTCTGCCTGATCTGTTTCCTGGCAGCAAGCAGAGGCATGGCCCCTTTAAGAAATGGCTTCCTGACTCAGCATTAGCTGCAAAAACCACATGTCTCTTTTAAGAGGCTATGCTACCAAACACTTAAATGGAATTCATGAGCAGCGGGTAGCACACTACTCAGTGGCAGTGTGGCTCCAAAACCTTCCCAGAGTTAGAGTAGTAAATATGGCTTTCAGAGCTGGCAGTAAATGTGCCTCTGCCATGAGACAAGCTTCTCAGAGAATCAAGCTGCCAAAGCCACAGCTTTAGTTCTAGTCATGCCTGCTTAGCAGTTTAAATGCTCATGTGGTCAGAAAAAGATATAGATATACAGTAAAGACAAATTAAAAAACAAAAACAAACAAAAAGCCCTCTAAGTGGGTTTTTTTCTAAGTGGGTTTAAAAATGTACATAGGCTTGGGAGAGTAAACAGAAGTTATATACGGTCATAAAAAATAAATATATAGTTTTAAAATAATAAAATCCTTAAATCCAAAGAGTACAGTAATATTTTAAAAAGCCATATAAAGATGGAAAATACACAGAGAGTCTGGTTAATGTATGTTATTGTGCTGTCTTTGAATTGTTTGACAGCTGAGGAAGGAAAAATAGCTAAGAGATGTGTTGATATTTCATTTGTGCTGAAATGTGATTTTTTGTATGTTAATAAAGTTTGCCTAGAAATTATAGGTCATAGTGAGCCATACACAGAAGTCAGGTGGTGGTGGCACATGCCCTTAATCCCGATCACATGGCAGACAGAGTCTCTGTGTGTTCAAGGACACAGCCAAGTGTGGTGATACATGCCTTTAATGCTAGTACCAACCATAGAGACCTGGAGGTCTGTATAGACAGGCAGTGACAATGAAGTGATTTGGCTGGGCTTAGAGCCAATGAGAAGGCAGAACAGGAAGGCAATAGAGGCACAGGTTAGACAGGAAGAAGCTCTCTTTGGAAGCTATGGCGAGGTGGTAAGTTAAGGTTAGTTGGCATCTATTGCTCTGATCTCTACAGCTTATACCTCTGTATTTGGCTCTGTGTTTCTTATTTAATAAGAATGTTTAGAAATTTGTCTACAAAGAGACTTTTGATTATAAATGTTGCTGGATGAATCCATCCTATGTATTTTGAAAATGCCTTAACTTCAAAATTTAAATCAAAAGATATGTTACTTTGGAAAAGAAATTGTGCTTTTATTTCCACAGGAAATGAGAGGCTCTGGATTCATTCTGTGTTAAGAAACATCAGATTTGATTGAGGAAGATCCCCTGAAAAATCTCCAATGGGAACAGATGGCCCAGATTATCTAATGTTTCAGAATGCCTCTGTTGCAGTTTCCTCTGAGTTCTGCATCCAGAAAGACTTCAAGGCTGAGATGATCCAATCTCACAAGACTATTCCAGTCAGGACTTGATCATAATCCTAAATTTTCTCAGGATCCCCATAAAATTAACAGTGCTCCCAATCAACAGGAAGTAGCCTAGAAAAATATGC